AGTCATCTTCTCTGACGCATATTCAACTCTTTCTGCGTGAAGAAGTATTTTAGGCTCTTATGATCCGTGTAGACTTCACATTTTGCTCCATACAGATAATGCTGCCAAATTTTCAAGGCAAAAACAACTGCGGCCAATTCTAAGTCATGTGTTGGATAGTTCTTTTCGTGTGGCCTCAACTGCCTGGAGGCGTAAGCAATAACCTTTCCGTTCTGCATTAACACACAACCCAAACCCTTATAAGATGCGTCACTGAAAATCACAAAATTTTCCGTACCTGAAGGTAGTGTCAAAATTGGTGAAGTGGTCAATCTTGTCTTCAATTCCTGAAAGGCTGATTCTCTTTCACTATTCCACTCAAATGGTTGTCCCTTACGTGTCAATTGGGTGAGAGGCACAGCTAGTTTCGAAAATTCCTTTACAAACCTCCTGTAGTACCCAGCCAAACCCATAAAACTGCGAACTTCCGTTACATTAGTCGGTGTAGGCCAACTCACAATTGCTTGTATTTTCTGCGGGTCCACTGAAATTCCTTCCTTGTTAATCACATGCCCTAAGAAAACAACCTCATCCAACCAAAACTCACATTTCTTGAATTTAGCAAATAGTTTTCTTTACCGAAGTATTTGTAGAACAGTCCTCAAATGATGTTCATGTTCAAGTCTATCTTTAGGGTATATCAAAATATCATCGATGAAGACAACAACAAACTCATCAAGGTAGGTTTTAAAAATTCTATTCATTAGGTCCATAAATGCTGCCGGAGCATTAGTCACTCCAAATGGCATAACAAGAAACTCAAAATGACCATACCTCGTTCTGAATGCGGTTTTCTCAACATCCTCTGCCTTAACCTTCAGCTGATGATACCCGGATCTCAAATCAATCTTAGAAAACACCTGTGATCCCTGCAACTGGTCAAATAATTTTGTATGGGAATTGACTAATTTGCCATTTTAATTGGACTGATTTTGGGGTTCCGTGTCATGGTGGTAATTGTAGGGCCTGTTTGGGGCGTACGTGCGTTTCGTTGGTGTTGGGGTAGGTTGTTGGCAAACGGAGTGCTGTGATGCATGGGGGTTGCACTAACATGGAGTCCGACTCGAACTGGAACACAATTTTTGGAAATGTAATCCCCCATTTTGGGAAGATTGTTTATGCTGGTAGGGTTTCAGATGATCTACGCGATTTGGGGGAAGTTGTAAGGGGTTTTTGAATTTCAAAATTTTGATTTACGTTCCACGTTTCGTATATTAGGGTTTTGGGTGTGCTTCTTTGTGAATCGTATAATTGATTGTGAGTTTGTGTATTGTATGTGTGTATGAGTGTTTCAAAGCAGACTGAACGAACTAACATCCTAATCCCACAGTTTTGTGCTGATGACAGGAAATTGTAAGTCTTGAATATTGTGTATATGTTGTATGTTATGTTGTTTCTTTTTCGAATGTTTGTATGTCAGCTGTTGTTGTTGTAGTGTATGTTCACATTATTGGGGATCCCAATCAACCCACTGTGATGTGTTTCTATATGGATCGTTATTTATGATGGATTTTTTCCTGGTGTCCTGGTTCGGTGTAGGTGAAATGGTTATGCGCATGACATATAATATTGTGTTGCAATAAAGACACTGTCGTGCTTAATGATGTAGGAATAGTTGGTTAGTTTTGCATGTATGATTGTTGGTGTGTGTTTGTATAACATGTTTATGTGTATAAATTTCGTGGGATGTATGTACCTATTAAGTTAGTAGGTGTCGTATTGATGTTGATTGGTACCTGCGTTATGTGGGTTGGTAGTATGTAGCGTAGCTGTGTGGGTGCTCGTTGATGGTACTGTTGGTGTGCACGCCCACATTACAATTACAGGTAAATGTGAATAGTGATAGCGTAGGACATATTTGTTTTGTGGTGATATGTACAATTTTCCACAGTTTTGTGGGCAACGTAGCATTTATGTATTATGTGCTGGGTAGTGGTAGGTGTGGGTAGGAAGCGTGATAGTGTGGCGATGAGGTGCTCGATATGCGTTGATAGTGTTAGCATGTTTAGGTTACGTTAACTTTGCTATGTACTGTGTAGTTTTTGTTGATATAGTTTTTGTGTGTTTCTGTTGACCGTGTGTGCTAACATTTTAATGTTAAATGCAGAGGTTGGATCAATGGGAAGCCCATAGACGAGGTCTTGTGACCGGAAATGCCAAGAATCTCTGGGGGGTAACCAGATAAGTAAAGTTGGTATGAATATGGAAGGACGGAGGCTGTTCAAGCAGCCGAGGAGTGCGAAACGTGGGAGTGGGTCAAACAGAAGGCCGAAAATGAGGGTTAATTTTTGGTCTAACATTGCTAGCATAGTGAAGACGGTGTTTGCAATCAAGTTAAAGGATAATCACCTGTTTCATCTGAGGAAGACACCATTTCGGCTGTTGTTCAAATCTATTTTGAAGAACCAGCCAGACTATACTGGATTCCGTAAAGGGACGATTTGGTGATGGGTATAATATGAACATACAGTGTGCGCGACGGGTGTTTCCGCATTGGCGGCCGTGTTGTTGACCTAACTGATAATGATGTACGTTTGATTTTTGGGATTCAATGTGACAATGCATTCCTCAATATGACACCTCGGCCAAGGCAGCCATCGGATTTCATTCAATGTAGGTGTCCTGGGACAACTCACATTACCCTGAAGGTTGTCCGAGATTTATTAGTTACAGCAGAACAGCACGTGACGAAGAAGACACAGTGAAACTGTTATGTCTTTACACTAGTGGAAAGTTATTTTTCTCCAGATCTGGCGAAACAATTAGTTGGGCTCTCATTCATTATATTGATAACTTGGATGTGATGAAAACGTACGACTGGACCAGTGCAATACGTAATACATTGATGGTTTTTGTTCGTGACTTCCACAGCACACCCGAAAAAGTGACCGGTTGCATAGCCACTTTGTTGGTAATGTTTACATTGTAGTTATGTTTTTGTGTTTTGTTGTACGTAGTGGGCGAGTGTGTACGTTGGTAGTGTTGTGTCTACGCGTGTGCGTTTTACTAACATGGACTAACTTTTTATGTAGTATTGGTTGTGTGAGCACTTAATGATGGTGAACACCAATCATCCTCACATGTTTCCGAGATTCTTGAAGTGAAATGTGACCAAGGTGTTGAGAGTTGCACGTAAAGTCAAACTGATAGGTGTGGTAAACTTTGAGGTACGTGATTATAACTCGACTTTTCGTGCCCCTCTCGGAAGACGAATAAGCCCTACAGTATCGGACTCCCACGGTTCTGAATTTGATCTTACAAGTGCAATGTGAAATAGATAAACACCAAAGAGTAATTGATTTCGAATCAAATTGCCAAAAATGGATTGCTTTGCCAGATACAAAGTCACTACCTAAATATTTTTTAGAAAATTTTTGGAAACCCATGACTCGTGCCAAAGGCCACATGTCCGTCATCACCAGGATTGTCTCAGCTCAGGAACTTAGGTACGAGAGAGGAAGGTCATGAATTGAGCACCCCCGCTCGTCCAATCAAAGATTGGCCACTACTAATCATGATATGAATCTTATTTTACATTATATGCTCTTGTTTCGATTTATTAGGCTACCATTACAATGTGATACGCACACACACAAGTATATACTAATTTGCAATAATTGGAATGCTTGATTCATGTTTGTTTTGAAAATTGTTTCGAATATGTACCACTTGAAAAAGTGATCGCATAGGAACATTACTCAAATTATTCCAATCCATGCAACTAGCCTTCATCCACAAGCATTCAAAACAGTTAATCATTTCAGCTTTTAGTCTTATGGCAGGCATGCTAGACATGACAACAATTACATTCATGCGATATGCTAAAGCGAGTAAAGACTCACCTAGTACTCCAAGTCAAAAAGATAAAAAAGTTAGAATAATGTATGATCCTAACTATGCAGTATGACTAATGCAATACATGTGATATGCAATTATTAGGCTCGGCTACTAATATGGCATATGAAGAAATTGGATAGCATGCGGTCTAAGAATGTATTCAAAGAAGTATTTAAACTAACAATGCAAGTTAGAATGATGAGCCGAGCCTCAGTGCATGCAAAACAAGTGGATGCAAACATGGAGAATGCTAATCAAAACATGATGTTCTAATCTAACTAGCGTAAGCAGTTAAATAAAAGGGGAAAAGACGTGGGGTTAGAAGACATACACATTATTACAACATTGTGCCCTCACACAAGAGGGTCCAAATGAATAAACTAGCTAACTAATTAAAGCTAAGCTAATTAAGTAATTATTACAAACCCAAATGAATAATTTAGCTAAACTACATAACTAATTATTACAAACCGAATTAATTAACTATTCTAACTAACTAATTATTACAAGACAAAATTAGCTAACTAGTTGAACTAATTAATGAATACAACATGAAAAGAGCACTAAGCTAGCTATTCTAATTACTCCACCTCAGGAAACGAGGAGTGCTTATGCATGCACGGACTTTTCACCCGAAAAAGTCACTGTTTCTGCTGCCAGATGCCTCTGTTGCACAGCAAAATACTTGCACTAATTTCCACCTCAGAACTTGTTCTATTCTGCTTCAAAAGTACACTGCTGGATTTTGCACAGGTGGCTGGCAGATAGCTTGCCGTCCATTGGTGATGGCCTGCCGGCCACTGATGACTAGATTGTCCTACTGCAACAGAGAGCAAACAGAGCAGGGACAGGGTATTATTAAGGGTTTGTTTGCACAACTCACCTCTTCTTATCATCAAACAGCTCAAAGGAGAAGTAATTTTGATTCATAAACTACCAATGGATGCAATTTCATTACATGATGGTTTATGAATCAAGTGTGCAAGTTCAATAAATGCAACAAAATAAGACTCTCAAAACCACCTCCCTATCATGAAAGATCAAGAGAAGTAGTTGGCAGTGAATCTTGAACCATTTCATCACTAATGAGTATGAAACAACTCAAGACTCAAGGGTTCAATTAACGTCCGATTGAACCCAAACCAAATTATTATCTTGCATCATTTTTAATCACCAATTTTATTACTCCATTTTAGTTACCTCTCAATTCTTTAACAAATTAAGTCCATAAGTGAATTTAAGTCCTCTAATGGAAAGAAGGCTCAAACCAAGTATTGCTTAAGGCATGAAAGAGACATCATACCGTTGGTAATGAACCCCTGAAGGGATTAAACCATTAAGCATGACACCTCAATCTTATGCTTAAACAAACAAATAATTTGAAACCACTTTCAAAGCAAAGAAAAAGCCAAGAAAGGAGGGAGTTGCAGAGGTGATTAAAGGTGAGAACAAGTACGAAAAACACTAAATAAATGCAATCAACTCAAATAAGGTGGTGTCAAAGACGTAAAACACCAAACTTATGAGGACAATTACACTACAAGCATGCGATATAGGGCTCAAATGCAATGATCCCTTTAAAAAAGTTCTAAAATAGTGCTAACTAAGTCCTAAAACATGTTGGAATTAAGACAAAAATAGTTAGAATAATAGGCTAAAACATAAATCATGCTAAGCTAGTAAGCAAAACACGAGGAGGGGAGGCTAACCCCTCCAATTTTGGACTTCAAAACAACATTTTAGCCACTGAAATAACTTTGAAAATCAGTGTTTAACTCAAAAAAAAAAAAAAATAGTGTAAAGATGGGAAACACAAGGGTAAAGGCCTTGAAAGTAAGGTGTAAAGAAGGGTGAACCACCCCTCAACCTTTATTGGCCTTAAAACCCAAGTTTCAGCCCAAAAATACAGAATTTAGATAGTCCAAAAATAGTTGGAAAACATTAGGAAAAAGAGTAAATAAAGTAAGAAAAGAGGCAAAGCTTTATACCTCTTGAACATGAGGACCAATTTTAGGCAACAAATCAAGACAAACGCACCCTCAAGAGCTCAAACAAGGCTCAAAGGTATCTCACCTTAAAGATGGAGAGGTTTGGTTAAGAGTGTATAGGCAAAAGCTTGTAAAAAGTTAAGAAATTTCAAGAGAGAGAGAGAGAGAGAGAGAGAGAGAGAGAGAGAGAATTTTTGCTCTAAAAATTCTAACCTTAAAAATGGAAGGAGAGGCCTCCTATATGTAGAAAACCAAGAAACTCCCTCAGAAATATCAAAACATACACGTATAGGAATGTACATACATCTGTGCCAACAGTTGGCACAACTGGTAGAAAAATATCTGCAAAACACATTGGTAGCCAGCAGGCCACATTAGTGGCCGACAACCAGAAGCAATGGCCGGCGGCCAATAGAAGGGCCGGCATGCCACAAAAGGTTGCAGGCTTAAAGATCTCTAGTTTTGGTCTAAAAACAAGGCAACAGGTGTGTAGGGTTTGAAAGGCTCAAAGTTGTGGCATTCCGCTGAGGACTTCGAGCATTTGACAAGGATATACACTCATCATTGGGTGTGCAAGCGATGGTGTCCAAGTCGTAAGGGTGGTAAAAAATGCGGTGTCTACAGATACCATTACTGTTTCTATGATCGGGGAGGAACCGGTTGTGGACTCTACCAGTTTCATTTTGGATGCGTCGAGGGCGCCGTGCCTCAATAGGCTGTTGGAAAAGGGTTTGTTGCAAGTTCTGAATCGGATGATGAGTCTGAGTTTGTTGAGTTAGAGTCAGATTCAGGTCAGTCCAGTGAGTCAGAGTCTGGCACTACCGGGGTGGTAACTCGAGTCCCAAAGTCTTGTCCAGGTCATTTGTTAGTCTTTCTTTTGAGTCAACTGTAATTGAGGACACTGGTCTTATCAATGAGAATGCAATGGACTTCGCTTACTTCTCTATGCCTTTAGTTTGCTGCACTGATAATGATTTTCAAAATTTTTACTTACACGAAGAGGAAGAAATTCCTCGGGCTTTAAAAAACTTAATTGACCAAGAGGAGGAGAGGCGTGCTAGGCCTTGCATGGATGAGATCATTTCAATTAACATGGGTACTGAGAAAGATCTACGTTTAGTCCAGATTGGTTCCACGTTGTATTTGGAGGAACGTGAGCGGTCAATCACTTTGTTAAAAAATTTCAAAGATGTTTTTGCGTGGTCATACGAAGACATGCTTGGAATTGATCATGAGATTGTACAACATAGGATCCCTTTCGACCCCGAGGCCCGACCAGTCAAGCAGAAACTTTGTAGAATTCGTCTAGATTGGGCACTGAAAATTAAAGAGGAAGTTACCAAACAAATCAACGCAGGATTCTTGATAGTATCTGAATATCCGATTTGGTTAGCCAACATCATTCCGGTTTCGAAGAAAGACGGCAGAATCAGAGTGTGCGTCGACTTTAGGGATTTGAATAAGGCTAGTCCTAAGGATGACTTTCCGTTACCGTACATTGATGAGTTGGTAGACTTCACCGCTGGTTACGCGTTGTTGTCATTCATGGATGGGTTTTCGGCGTACAACCAGATCTTGATGGCACCAGAGGACAGGGAAAAGACTGCATTCACTATGCCATGGGGTACCTACTACTATAGGGTCATGTCATTCAGGTTGAAGAATGCTGAGGCTACGTATTAGAGGGTTGCAACCACAATACTGCACGACATGATCCACAAAGAAGTTAAGGTGCATGTGGATGATATGATTGTGAAATCCAAAGAGCGAGATGGCTATTATATTGCGCTGAAGAAGTTCTTTGAGAGGATCAGGGAGTATAGGTTGAGGTTGAATCCACAAAAGTGCACTTTTGGGGTGATTGTAGGGGTAGGGAAAATGTTGGGTTTTCTGATTACGCAGAGAGGAATTGAACCAGATCCATCCAAGATCAAGGCCATCTTAGAAATGCCACCACCAAGGACTAAAAATGAGGTGCGTGACTTTCTAGGAAGAGTGCAATTCATAAGACGGTTTATCTCTAAATTAACCTTGACTTGTGAATCATTGTTTGGTCTCTTGAAAAAGGGAAAGAAATTCCAATGGGACGATTGATATCAGTTCGCCTTCGAACAAGTTAAGAAGTATCTTCAGAATCGGCCTGTGTTGTCGCCACCAAAGCTGGAGAAGCAATTGATCATGTACCTGTCGGTGATGGAGTCAACCATGGAATGCATGTTAGCATAAGAATCAGAAGCTAAGGTAGAAAAGGCCATTTACTATCTAAGTAAAAAGATGCTGGAATATGAGACCCGTTACACTCGT